TAAATAATCAAAACCTTAATCAAGAATTCTAACCTATTTCCGAATCCTATGAGATACTGCTAAATAATGTAAACAATAACAATTTATCAATCGAAGAAATTGTTGATATTTCAAATCCAATATTTATTAGTAATAACGATTCATTTATTGAAGAGCCAAATATAGAACCAAACAATAATGTGCAACTATTATGTATAGGAAATACTAATTACAATCCTGCAAGTGTTGTAGCTCGAATTCTTGATGATAATTAGAATAATACTATAATATAATACAGTATATTTATTTTGTTAATATCGCTTAATCTGTATAGTAAAACATATGTAATGTGTAACAATAAATAATGCAATGAAATTCAAATCATATTGATAAAATCATATTGCAGTACTATATTAAATTCATGAATACTTACTATTTTATCACTTAATTAGTAAAAATAAAGGTCATTTTGCATTCAAATTTAGATTGTATAAATAAGATTCTTATAATGAAAATTATTTATTCGATAGATCAGATTCTTTACTTATTACATTCTAAAAATTGTACCTGGACATAATGCAATAAATTGTCATATATTATAGCAATAAATTTTCGAATTTCTTTATAATATGATGTTATCGATTGGCAGTAGTTTGAAAACGTGATAAAATATATGCTTTAAACTAAAAATTTTCATAAAGTTAGAGTTTTATTACACAGTCAAAATGGACTCATATAGAATAAAATTGGCTACCCGTATGTTTCGAATTTCTCAGTCATCCAGATTAGTGATCCAAATCGTTAGTTAAAAAATGTTGGTTTAGTTGTAATTGTTTCATCAGTAAAATGATTTGGATGGATTTTTGCAAATACATTTATTTATTTATTTAAAGCCAAATACTTAGAAATCAATCCGAAAAAACTTAATCTCAAAGATAACTTGTATTGTTTACATTAACGCATTACTAACCGATTTAGTTAGTATTATGTTTCAGAAAAATGATTTTCGGAAAATAGTATTCGGAATGCAGTGGATCATCTCTAAAAAAGAAAATGATCGGATGTAAAGCAGGCTATTTATTGTTATTTATTGGCTGTGCCTTTGCTAGTGACCCTCCACATTTCGGTTTTAACTAAAGCAGTAAAGATTTTCATCAAAAACTTTATGTTATATGCTGTGAGAGGTTAAATGGTCGAGTTCAGAGAGGGGGCAAATGCGACGGATTGTCGCTTGAAAAACGATTTTGTCGCGTAACGTTCCTCAAAGATAATAGAGGCGGTTTTACGATTTGGTACAAGGTCAAGGCGATCGTTAAGGAGCGTTACAAGATAAGTATTAGAGTTTAAAGAGCGTTAATATATTTTATAGGTCAAAGGGCTTTATTTATTTCTTTATTATTTTTTTTCTTTAGGGGCAATATAACTGTGGAACTATAGTATTATACTACTCTGAACGGTTCTGAACTACTTTTTGGGAGGGAGAAATTCCACCCTTTTTTTATAACGAATTGACCGCGAGAAGAGTACGACTCTTCTCATTGTCCCATCGTTTTCCAACCATTTTTGTTCTAACCTTTAACCCCTTTCACACAGCCTTTCGTTACTTTAACATTTCTCACGTTCTTCATAGAACCGATGAGAAATGCTTCAGTTTTACTATCCCGGGGCCAGAACCCACCCCCTTTGACATCGCCTCACACCTAACCCAAGTAGGGTAGGTGGAGTCAACGTCCATTCCCAGCGCGAACAGGTTGGTCCAGGTCGACTTTTCTTTAATTGGAGGGGGTGGTGGGGTCCCGCATAGAGGCTTGTGTACTGTCATATGGCTTTATTGGGACTGGGCGCATATGTTTTAAGTGGATCGTCATGGGCACCACCAATTAGGTAAGTATGCCACAATGACGATCACTTCTCAGGTTCCTTGAGGTGTCTGACAATGCTCTGTATGCGCAGATGATCAGATCTATTTGCGCATAGCCCGCAAAATTTCGATTCCACTTAAACGGCGAGTCAGTCGCTAATCGGTCGGATTTCTCGTGTAACCTCTTGGGAGGGTAATTCGGGTCGAAAGAGGCGTGTTAGATTTGTCGAGTGGTTCGTTTGGTAATGGTTGGGTCTACTGATACTGGATGATTCGGGTTGGCTTTAGTCAAATATACCGGTGTAGGTTAGTGGTTACAAGTTGGAGACGGATTATGTAGCAACGATTGTTTGTTATTATCAACAAGCAGTTTTATAAGTGATTATGTATTAAATGTGTTATGTATTGGTTTCAAAGGGGAAGTTGTTCTTTCCCAAAGGGCCTTTTCGGCCTTTATTTATAATTAAAAATCTCTATTTACATTATGCGATGGATACGACTGATATTTCCCTTCTAACCGATCGCTGCTATCCGTCACGTTCGATGCATGTGTCACATGCGACGAATGCGACGGATGCGATCGACTCCTTCCCTAATTAGGCAATGACCCATCCCGAACGGCCAGGGTCCATTCGGGTCCCACAATGCATCTTTGTAATTTACCAAAAATATGTATAATAGTAAAGTAACATTACTTCTGCATATGGCTATATTTATTCATACGTTTGTTATATACGTATAGTAAAAATAGTAAAATAATTTTAATATCTTTCACTAGTTTTGCTATCTTTTTTTTTTTTTAGTTTTGTCACCTTTTAACAGTTTCACTGGTTTCGTCATTTCACCATTTTAAATTTTTTTTGCAAGTCAAAACAAAGTTTCCCTATTTGTCTGTGGTGAAACTTCCAAGCTTGGCTGCCAACACTATTTAGTCAATTGTCAATAGCTTCATCAATCATTAACAGTTTCATCAAGCATGTAATTTGATGAAATCTTTCATCAATTTAAAAATAGTTTCAAGTATCTATAGCTGTAATGAGAATCAATTAAATAGTATGGTTAGTGCAAGCTATAAATTTTTCGATGAATTAAGCTAAGTGTTGGTGAATTAATTGTCAGTAAATGAATTGTGCGTCGGTGAAATGAACATGTCAGTGAATTAAGTGTTGGTCAAATGAATATGTCGGTGAAGTGTTGTGTCTACGAAATGAGTGTCGGTGAAACAAGTGAACCGCATGAAGTTCCTGCACTGCCTGTGAATACAGCAGAGACCGTTAATGTTACGCATATATTAAAACTCACAATTGAATCCAACATAAATAATTTAATTTGTAATTGATTACAGGCGAGAGGGATTCACTTTGGATTGGGCACTGTCCCTGCTATAGCCTGCACAGCCAGATTTTTGGCAATAGATAATACTTATTTTTTCGCTTAGCAGGTTATCCGGGTAGCATGGCCATGACCCGATTAAGAAACGCTTGGATGGGTTACCTGGGTAACCCTCACCCGGGCTTAATCACTATGTACTAACAATATTATTTATTATTTAGACAATTTACGTACGTCTATCGCTATGCTGCATTTAGAGAAATTAATTATTTTAATGAATATGTAATTTTTTGTGCTTAAAGTAAATTACAAAAAGGTAAATACTTAATGGTAGGTATTTTAATATAATGTAATAGAACAATATACATCACATTATAATCGAACCTAATAAATGTATCATTTATTCTAAGCTCTGTTTTCCAAACATTTTCTGATGATTTGGTAATCACATGTATGAAACTATCAAGATTAATATGACTGGTCGGGTTGACCCAGGTAGAATTTCTACCCAGGTCAACCTGTCGATCACCCGGATGACCTGGATAGCATTTTTTTGGAATGGTCCAATCCTAGATATTATTTCTATTATACATATCATCCATGATTTATCCTTTTAATTGATTATATCACATAAAACTCTTAATTCCTATAAAACCCGCTAAGTACCCTTCTCTCTTATTACATTTATAACCCTTCTAGCACCAAAGACCAGAAATAGTTTTTAGTACTTTTACACCGGGAAACCTATTTTAGGTTATTCCTTCGCGCGCAAAAAATTGTCCTAAGAAAAAAAATTTTCATTCATATTGGATATAAAAAAATAGCTATAATGTAACATTTAATTTAGATAATTTTGGACATCTTAACACATCATGCGCTCATCCGTTATTTATCTATTTCTTGTACATTAAATCTGCATTAACTTAAATGATATTAATATTAGAAAATCAGAGGTTAAAACATGTATTGGTAGTACTTGTGTCACTTTGACAGCAAATCATTCTCGGATCTAGCTTTTGCCCCTGTCATTGAATGCAGAAGCATGTAATACAATGTATTATAGGTATTATAGTTATTCTTATTTCCCGGTTCTTATTTCTGTATTTATACTTCTATAGTATTTTTTCTTGCTTATTGCCCAGATCTCTGATTCGGGCAGACCCGGAGTTTTTGTATTTATTTTTGGTTATATGTATTTTTTTACTCTTTTTAAATGTTATACGAATTTTTAAACTAATAAAGTTACGAAAAGTTAAGTAGTTGGCTAAAAAAAAATAAAAGAGTGAAAGACAATAAAAAAAAGGTTTGTGATTGTAGTAAAGTTAAACTTTATGAAATGCATAACTTTAATTTGAAAAAAATAATGTAGAAGTAAAATAAGAACCTGGGAATAAAACAGTTATTATCCGCTTACGTGAGCAATAACATATACTTACATTTTAAAACACTTGCCATCTCTAACCATCCTATACAAGTCGCATTTTAAAATTCCCGTGTGTGATACGCAAAATTTGCGTAGTCGAATAGCCAAATTATATTCTAAATATTATTTTTAAAAAGAAAATTTCTAATTATACACGGGGTGTTATATACACAGGTGTTAATTAATTTATTTAATAAATTTTTGTAAGATAAACTTATAAAGCAAAAATTAAATCCGATTTAAAGTTAGAGTAGGGTTAGCTTTAGGGTTAGAGAGGTTATAGTTTATACTGAAATTTTATGAGGAATATTTTTTGTTAGATCTCCAAAGCCGTTTTATTATTGGGATTTTGAGATATCATTATACCCGTGTTTTAAACTCTAGTGTTCAAATAGAAACTGCCTATTACTTTATTGCTTCAACAAAAAAATTATTATGAAAAATCTTAAGACACACATCATACTCTAATAAACTAAGTTGTATAATATAAAAAAGCACCAGCAGTGCCTTATTTACACTTGTATTACATCGATATAAAAAATTTTAATAAATAAATCCATTTTCTTTAGATATATGATACAAATAATGTTTTTTTTGTTTATTAAAGAGTTAATTTAATAATAGAAATAAAATTTCTAAATAATTTTACATTAATAACTGATATTAAGAACAAATTATTAAAATCTCACTCTCAGAGAAATGCCTGGTCCTGACACTAGTATCCTTCATAAGCGTCGAGATTTCCATTCCAATACTTTAATAATCTCATATCTCTCAATTTTAACCATTTATCATTCATCAAATTTTCTTGCAATATTTCTTTAACTACTCTAACAGCAGAGTTCAAGGCACCAACGATCCAAGCATTATGTATATCTGTATGTTCACCTGCCCAATGTATAAAATCTTCCGATCTCATCATTGCTCCCATCACAAATTCCAGTTGTCCAGCTCCATACTTAGCATAAGACCCTCCAACAACAGTTTTATCATTTGTCCAATAATGAGCTTTATTATTCTCGTTACCAGAAACCCATTCTTCTCTCACTATTTTCCCATGAATAGTCTCTAAATCTTTTAAAGCAAGTTCAAAACGTTCTTCCTCAGTAAACGGAGAAAATTTTGCAGCATCGTTAGCCCATGTATAGGAAGCCAATAAGACACCAGATCCATTAGTAGGTAGGCCTTGATAATATGAAGGGTAGACAATAGTACGAATAGGAAGGTCAGTTGACGAAGTTCCACCAACAATTCCCATATTGGTGGTCGTCTGCAAACCACCAGTTTCAAGAGGAGATTTTTCCCAGAAACGACTTTTAAACTGCAGAAATATTTTTGCAGCGTTAACATAATCTAATTCACGTAATGCACGTCTCTTCTTATATGATAATGCTAGTTAAAGAAATAATTACATTAAATTTATTGTGATACTATAGGAATGTATAGATTTAATGCTAACTTTTTTTTTTTTTTTTTTAAAAAAAAAACTTACTTGGAGGTAAATCCCAATGACGAATACAACCCAAAGGAGCAGTAACAACAACTCTATCAAAAACTTCAGAATCTTTTTTTCCTTCAGTTTTCCAATGAACTCTAACACTTTCACCACCTTCAGTCTTTTCTAATTTAAAAACTTTAGAATTATACTTTAATTTATAATTTTCCTTCTTAATTAATGGTAAGAAAGCATTAGGTAATCGTTGCATTCCTTTGTCAATAGATTTCCAGCTTATATTAACATTAAGACCAGCAAAAATATATCTTTCAATGGCCAAATCAACGAAACCAGCTTCGAATTCACCTAATTAATTTGATAATTAAATTATAATTAATTGACAAATAAATTATAAATTAAATTATTATTTGCATTACATGCCTATGCCCACTTCGTTCATTTCAATAGCTCTGATAATTTCATCATAATCCTTTTGTTTTGTTGGTAATTTTTTAGGAAGAAAAACTTCATTTAAATAAGAGTAAGCACTATATTGGTCATAACGTTTTAAAGCTTCAAGACCTTTTGTGAAGTCTTTTCCCAGCTCTTCAAAGAAAGGTACTAATGCCTCAGGCCATAACTTTGTATAATCATCTGGGAGCGAATCAGGAAAACCTAACTGAGTAACTTTAGCAGTTGAAGAGTAATTTTTGGTCATCATTTTATCATCCGGGGCCTTCTTATTATTAAAATAATATAAAGCACTGTGATATTTATTTAAATAATAATAAACCATAAAAGGAATTAAACCTTTTCAAATTAGAACCATTTTTGATTTAAGTTTACTATACATATGATAAATTACATACTTTGGATTGCTATATATGAAAGGAATGGTCTTAATTTCCTTATCTGGGTCGTCTGCTTTATTATAATCGTTCAAATGATCAATAGTATCAAAAATTAGCTGATGTACAGAGAGGTCTGGACGGCCATCAACATAAGGCAATCTCATTGCGCCAAGTTCTCCGTATAACCGCCTTTCATCATTCGGGTCATCAGTAAAATAGTGAGTATGAACACGCCCACCAACACGATCTTGATATTCAAGAATGGCAACGTCTTTAATACCAGCCTCTTTTAAAAGAAGAGCTGTAAATAGTCCTAATATTGCGTAAAATTCATTCATTATAAATAAATATTTAGGGTATGGAGTAGAAAAAGGATAAACGCATACCAGACATTCCAGCACCTATAATGCAGATTTCTAAGATTTTTGATATTTAATGTTAATATAGATTGAATTAAAAATAAAAAAAAATAAAAAAAAAGAATAAATAGACGATATATCACTTGGATTCTCGTTTGGAGTACTTCGAGGAGTTATCTCAATATTATCATCATTAATTCTGTGCAATGAGAAAATATTAGCATAAATAAGCATTTATTAACTATGTTCATCAAATATAGCTTACCTTTTATGATAATCATTATAATAATAATTTTTTATATGAGCTCTTTTGCGTATATTTTTGTCACTTTCAAAATTCCGAGTCGCTTTGTAATATACAAAATAAAAATTTTAACATTTATAATTTTTAAAAATTAACATAACACTTATAATTTAGCAAGTAAATAATATTGTACGTGCTAAACTAAAAGTAGATGTTTGATTTTGACGTCTAAATGATAATATTTTATATCTTTTACTTACGTCCTTTTAATTCATCAAATTAATATCAATGTGCACAAATTATAAGTATAATAAATAAACATTTAAAAACATATACTTACGACCTTTAGAATAAAATTCATATTAATAAAAAGTAAAATTGACAATTATTTAAAATTAATTTGATTTACAAACCGTTACTTTGAGCAATTACGGTGAGAACTAACGTGGTAATAATAACTAATTGAAGTTTTAATGATAACATTATTAAGAATCCGTTAGAGTAAGGAAAAAGGACGAAGCAGGGTATAAATACTTTCAGGTTTATTCAAGATGTTATTTTATTAATACATTAACTCTTTAATTAAAAGTATAAAAATAAAAAAAAGTAACTCAATATGTCTTGATCTCGAAGATGCATCAAATAGATATTGGCTTCTAAATTAACTTCTAAATTAGATCTTAAGTATTACTTCAGGAGAAGAGATTACAGCATGTTCAATGCTAGGATGCGTCGAGTCCCGTTGACTTGATCCTTTTGCAATCATTAGATTTTACCATAAACGGAAAATTGTTGATAAAGATTGTCCGCATCTTTAAAAATATCTTTTTTGCATTGAAAGTACTAAAATGGTTAATCCACAACCTCTATTTTATTTTTACTTGTTATTATGTTCATCTTTTGAGACTATCATCGTTACATTTGTAATTATTCTACGTCTTCTTTTATTGTTTCAATTGCTTTATCGTGCCTCATTAGTATAGCCTTCCTTATTTGTTCTCATGCATAATATTATTATAACCACCCCTTCATTTGGCTAGTCATTTGCATTGTGAGCCGTGAAACGTGATCCCGGAAGCACGTGAAAGGAGGTGATCGAGGTGGCGCAGTAATAACTAACGGGGATTATTGCTCTTAAAAGTCGTTTAGCGATTATAAGGGTAATAGCGGTGATAAGGGTTTTAAGGAAGAACTATAAGTAAAGGGA